AATTCCCTCAATAACCTGTTTCCATTATTCCAGTGCTACCCATGGTTCCATAAACACAATTAAAGGCTACACCTGTGCTTCCCACCACTGGTAATGATTGCTGCTCTCATCTCTACCTTGAAGGGTCAGCTTGAAAGCCAGCTCATTCATGATTCTTTCTCAGTTCCTTTCAATTGAACATTATAACCCTTTTGGAATATCTGAAAGCCTTTGCTTGAACTTCAGTCAAAATACAACTCTGTTCTGCTTATCTATATTATTTAGGACAGAAACTGTCTTATCAATCTCTATTCCCTGAAACACCATGGAAAAGAGGCAGGTGCTGTTGAGGAAAATGAGGCTCAGATGAATAGTAACCTGCCAGTGACTGAAAGAGTCAAATCTGAATGCCAGATCCCCCACCCCTGACAAAGCCCATGTTCTTTCTACCATATCATTCCATGCTCTCTTCCTTATATCCTTTTTGATAATAAATATTCAAGAAATCTGTACAATTAAATGAAATTAGACTGGCTTTTTCTTCATCTCAAGGAAACTCTAAGGTTAAAAAAAAAAAAAAAATCCAGAGAAAATAATCCCTGCAATTGTACTTTGGCTGCCCCGGCATCATATCCCTACGTATCTTATGGCCAGAAAAAAACACATAAAATGTGTGGCTTTCAGGAGACAGCATTAAGACCCACATCTATTCCTGAAATGTTAAATGTCTATCATCATCATATTTTGCCGGTTCTTTATTTGAGCAGAATCACAGCTACAACTAGTATGCCTGGGACAGAGTAAGATTTCAATAAATGTCTGTTGAATAAATAAATGAGTGAAAAAAATAACCACTGCTTCAGCTGTCCAGGCACCTGTGTTTACCTCCTCCAGTTCCTTCACCAATTTCTCCACCATTGTTGTCTCAGAGCAATAGCTAACAAAAAAAATTACATATTAAGCTGCAGAACATACAGCCGAACAACTAGTATATTTTAATACAAATTTTCAGTTTCTGAATGCCACCTACTAAGCAATTCAATTGTTGGCCAAAGGCATTTCAAAATTCTCATGTCCATTCACCCAGTCACCCAAAATCCTGAGGTGTGTACTGATTTTTCCCACTCTCCCTCACTCACATCGAATCCACCCACTTTCCATCAGTGCCTCTACTAGTTTCTCACCTGAGAAACCTCCTTGACCTTCGTAATGATCTCCTCACCTCCCTCTTAACTCCAACAGTCCATACAGCAATCAGAGTAATGTTATTAAAAGATGTTGAAATGACTGTTACTCCCCTGCTTAAAACACTTTAGTAGCTTCCATTACACTTCCAATAAAATAAAAATTCTTTACCATTGAATTCCTTACAGTATAAAGTATAAAACCCAACATGTAGTACCCTTAAGTACACTTAATATTTCTGAATGAAGGGGCACCTGGGTGGCTCAGTGGGTTAAACATCCAACTTTGGCTCAGGTCATGATCTTGCGGTTCATGAGTTTGAGCCCCACATAGGGCTCTGTGCTGACGGCTCAGAGCCTGGAGCCTGCTTCAGATTCTGTGTCTCCCTCTCTCTCTCAAAAATAAATAAACATTAAAATAAATGTTTTTTTAATTTCTGAAGACACTGTTTCCCTATATACTCATTTATATTAACATGTGGGGTTTTTTTAGAAGAATGTGGAAGATTTTTTATTTTTACCAGAAAACTCTCCTCCTCTTCTTAATTGCATGTCAGGATTAGTACCAGAGAGCAGCACCTTGTAGGTTAACAGTAGTCATCAGACTGAGCTAATTCAGCTCCATGGAGTAGAAAACCATACTTAGAAAGCATGCCAATACATGTCTTAACTGGAGTAGCAAACTTTTATCTGTACATCACTTTAATTTTATTTTTTTAATTTACATCCAAATTAGTTAGCACATAGTGCAGCAATGATTTCAGGAGACTCCTTAATGCCCCTTACCCATTTAGCCCATCCCCCCTCCCAAAACCCCTCCAGTAACCCTCTGTTAGTTCTCCATATTTAAGAGTCTCTTATGTT